AATTTATATATATATATAAATTTATATATATTCATTCCATATATGGCTGAAGTGTAACATCCCAAGCTTTAGTTTGTCTCTGAGTTTGTGGTCTGGCCATTTGTTCTGTGATGTCGGGTAGGCGGGAGGTATCAGACATCTGGAAACTAGCCCTAGTCAACAAACGGGTTCCAGCCACGCAAACCAACACCAGACCCAGAACAACACAGGATGCAACTACCAATCACCCTCACCAGACTCAAACCAAAACCCATCGCATAGACCAAATGTAACCACATCCAGAAGCCAAACCACGGCGGCATCACCAGCTGCTGCACCCCCCCTCCGCACCCCACACAAAGCAAACTGACACACACCATGAACACATGGCCAGACTACAAACCTGAAGCCAAACCAAAGCCCAGGATGTTACACTTCAGCCATATATGGAATGAATAGATATATATAAATTAAATCAGCCTTTTTGCAAACTGCAGTCCTCTAACTGTTAGCACCATGATTCCAAGTTTACTCTAAAAGAATTCTGAGAGTACTAAATATGGGAAGCCTAGTTACCATAATACAAGTAATGAACAAACTATACATTTAAAAAAATAGGGAGTAATTTGTTTGTAGGATGTAACAATTTTTTATCCACTTCATCAATTTGATTTCATAAACAGTTAAACATCCATGAGCTCATAGAAGAAAATAAAGAAAATCTATAAAATAGGTAGTTGTTTCATTTAGGACTTTATTTCTTTCATATAGAATTCTATTTATGTTAATTAATTTGCATTTTTAGGTAGAACACCTTGATCCCATGCTAGAATTCACCTTTCAAACTGAACAAAAAGGTGACGAAGAGAGGGAAGAAGAGGAGGAAGAAGATACTGTTTTTGCAATGACAAATTACTCCCATCATTCCACAGTAGAAAGAACCAGCCATGGACCACAACTACAGACAGCAGAGATGTTGCAGCTACAAAAGCAGGTATCAAGGCAAATGTACAGGTGCTTATTCTGTCATGAGAGTTATCTTGAGTGATTTTGTTGTTTTATCCATTCTGTCTATTCTACAAAGTAGTGCTGAGAAAGGTTTCTCATTGAATGGTGGTATTCAGAATGTACATGTTTATTTCTCCTAAACATTTCCATAGCAATTTACTTCTCAATCACTATTGTAAGAGTTAATTCATTCTAATCTTTTTCTCACAAATGTATTGAGAGAGTTTCCAATTTGGGGCATGACTTACATACAGATACAGTGTTTAGACATCAAAATATACCAAGAGATTAATTAGCAATATCCTTTACAAATACTATCACTGACTTGCAGTTCAATCCAGTTTCTGTAAAACTATTGGCAATTTAGCCCAGAAGTCCCCAACCCCCAGTCCATGGACTGGGACTGGTCCATGATCTGTTGGGAACTGGGCTGTAGAAGTGACAGGAGAGCCCACGAAGCTTTGTGCATGTGTGGGATTAGGTTGTACACTGAAACCATTCCCTACCCCCATGCTTCTGCCAATGCCATTCTGTGGGGTCAAAAAGGTTGGGGACCGCTGATTTAGTTAATATATTTTGATCTAACGTATGATAACTACTAGTTATGTACAGGAAAATAGTATCATTCAATAAAACTTTATTAAAGCAATGAATAATATAATGAATATTGATGAATAAAATATAAGAATTAATTAATCAATAATAAAAGTAACCAACTATGTGTGCATATCCTAAAGTTTAAAAGTCAAAAACTAATCTAAATGCAAAGCTTTTTAAAATCTATTTAAATAAATCATGCTCACTGTTCTAGTGGAGTCAATAAATAACAAGACATTTCATAGTCTTGGGGTTAAAACTGAAAAAGCTTTCTGTTCCATCAGTGCTGATTCTACTAATAGTTACAAGTAAAAAGCTATATAATTAAATTGATATGTGTACAGTAATTATGTTTTTTATGAAAATTGACGTAGATAGTTAGAAAAAACTGGTAAAAGCTGATATGAATATAAATATTTCAGTTTGTTTATGGGCAGCAAGCAATAGCATTTAATTTTTCCAGACAACTAATATGTATAGGTTTAAACTATTATAAAAGAACATTTGAATTTACAAAATATTAATAAAAATGACATTCCACATTTTTAACTTTGGATGATATCTGCATACTTCCTTGAGATAATAGTCTAAATTGTTCTGCAATAAATAAATGGTATACTACCAAAACAAGAATATATTTTACAATGACAGATGGCTCTATGAAATTCTTATTTACTCCTTCACAAAGAAACTTTGCATTTGTTCTGTGCAAAAAGAAAAATATCTACTTGCAAGGAGTTTTTTTTTCTATATGTATGAAGGATTCACAATGTGATACCTTCCTTGCCATGGCATTCACTTTCCACCAAAAGACATTTGTAATTAAAAAGTATATCAAAACCAGTCTAATATTTCACATTTAGACACTATACCTCTGCCTCCTGGCCCTTGGATTACAAATTCTATCAGGTGAAGTGGCATGTAGATTCAATATACTGCATTAGTCTTTAATTGTGATATGTTTGGTACTGTGATTTCATCATCACTCTTGAAAAATGTGTATGTTTATTATTCGATGGGCTGATATTCTTAGTATATCTCACATATTCAGCCTCTCTTCTTGTCCATCTTTAAAATAACTTAAGAAATCTGGGGTGAGGGGAGGCCCTTGTGCAAGTACACACCTAGTTTATTTAGAAAATCTACTTGTGGTTTTTGATGTGCTTATCTACTTTACCTTACCATCCAGCACACGCCAGACATCATTTTCTCATAACTACAGAGACTTTTTGCTCAACTACTGCCAGTCCTCTAGCTTCAATTTCCATCAGAATTACACTGGAGCCTGAGCCATCACAATTTAAAACAGTGGCAAAATATTTGTCTCTTTTGTTGGTTTAAGTAGAAATGTATGCACATTTAAATACAGTCTTTGGTGATCTTTTTAAATGTTTTTTTTTTGTGTAAAATATTTTATTCAATTTTTACATTCCATTTGCAATCATT